TCATTACATTAGTATGTTTGTGTCTTACTGGGCTTATGGATAAGTGACTGACATTTTTGTGAAATGTGTATGAATTAATGCCACTTAAACAGGTATTTCAGTACCTACCACTTTCAAAGCAAAGAATTTACAAATTCTTTTTCTGCTCACTGAATCACGAAAGGTAATGTTACTATCTAATTTTAACAGATGAGAGAAGTGGAAGAGACTTTCCCTAAGTGGTACACCTTTGTGGAAGTTGGGGTCAGCACTCAAATTTGCGATGCCCAGTTCTTCTAGATAATCCTTTCGGGCTTGCGAATGTTATGATCATTAATTTTTTTTAAGATTTTATTTATTTTTTAAATTTTTTTTTTAAGATTTATTTATTCATACAGAACTGGGGTACAGGCCAGAGATGCGGAGGTGACCACATGGCCACGCCATGTGGTCACCTCTGGGGCAGGCGGGAATCAAACTCATGCTGAAGTGGCTTAAGCTTCTTAGTGCAGTGCTCCAACCCGCTGCGCCACCAGGGAGGGCCCCTAAGATTTTATTTATTTATGCATACAGAGTTAGGGTACAGGCCAGAGGGGCAGGGGCAGCAAGAGGCTTCACCAGAGACAGAGTGAGGAGCAGAGCAGGCAGATGGACGAAGTACACTGCTGAGGGGAGCAGCGGGCGGGTCAGGAGAGGTCTGCCGCGCCCTGTGGGTCACATTCGGGGCAGAGATTGAACTCTCATGGAAGCACCACAGCTTGGCTCTGCAGTGCAGCGTTCCAACACCCTGTGTCACCCAGGGAGGGCGGTATGCCCATGAATTTACATGGAATATGTTTTTGAGCATCCCCAGAGCCTAAAAATAACTTGAGAAAATCATACAAAATAGGATCATCACACTTTTGAGGGAAAAGTGCCACTTATAGGTTATATGGTGTTTCCTGGTTTTTTTCATAAGCTCATCATATCCACATTGCTGAATTGTTAAGAAACTTAGAGAAGAAACAGGTAAAGGTACTACTCAGGGGCTGGAGCACAGGAGGGTTAAGTGCAGTCACTAACATGTCCATTTTTCAGAAGTGAGAGCATCAAAGTTTCAGAGTCTCTCTGGATCAATAACAATAAGTTTCAAGATACAAAGGATGCCAAGAGCTATGTTGCCCTCATCATGTTCCAGGGTTAACATCAAACACTGTTTCCTGGATCACCTGCGGATCTTGCGATAACCTGTGTCCAGATTTTTCACAATGAATATAAAATGGCATGTTCTTCATCTACATGTACATATTCGTATTAACAGGAGTGAATGCGGTGTTTTTTCTCCTGCTTTTAATCTGTTTTCTTATTTGCCTTTCCCAGGCGTATTTTTTACACCACACATGCCAGCACTACTCTGAACTCTCAGGGAAGCCAGAATTAGCAGCTAAAACAGCTGGAAGATCTGGCTCTGCCTACTGATAAGGCCCATCCCATGCAGACCACATGGATGTTTGAAAACCAGAGACATTGCATGAGGGAAATAAGGAAACTGGAATTTTCCAAGGCGGGGTGGACTGATAATCTTTCTTTCTTTCTGCAGCCTAAGCTGTTTCTCTTTTCTGTGAACAGCCTGCTGAGGTCAGGTTCACTAATTGTCTTCCTCTTCGTATTAGTCATCGTCAGCCTTGCCACCAAGCCCCCATCCACACCTTCAAGAATGGAGCTGACATTCAAATGCTCATGAAAAGGTCTGTAATGCAAGGACACGGGAAGCTCCTAGGGGACCATCCTCTGTGGCTTGTCTATTCCTCCTTCCATCCACCTTGCCCTTTAATCCCAGCTCAGTCTAATCTCCTCCCTTTCTGAACAAAAAAGTGACGATTAGCTCACTGTGCATTTACCACTAAAGATTTATAATGCCCCGCACAGAGGCTCCTTAGTAAACACACATATGCTCTGCCTTTAAAAACTCAAAGTTGAAGAAGGGAACAGACATATAATTAGACAATCTTAGTACCATGTGATGAGCACTATGATAAGCAGGGGTGGGGATGGAAAGTGGCAAGACTAAAAAAGGTGTGAGTAGAAGTAGGAGCGGTATCTCAGTTTCTGCTAGTGCGGTGGGAACTGGTAGGCTTTCTGGGGTTTATACTATATAAGCTGTTGAGCAAAAGCAGGAGTTGGCTAGACAATGAAACGTAGCAGAGTGTATCCCCAAGACAGGCTGAGGGTTAATAGTGGCAGTAGCCAGAGCCCCTGATTCTTCAGAGCGAACACCTTTCATTGAGCAAAGGATATAACTCACACACCCCAAACTCTCCCCCAAGTGTGTTCCTAGAAGAAAGTGTGTTTTGGAAAGTCCAAGAGTTCTAGGAGTTGGGTTTCGATTCCCTTACGCCTCCTTGTAAGTTAACAGAATCTATGTGATTATTTAATAGCCAGAAACAGCTTTCAACACAAAGTTTTCTCAGTGTCTGAGTTTAGTCTGACTTTGAAGCATTCACTTCAGTGGTTCCAGATGGAATCAGAAATCCCCGAACAAACCTCTCCAGGTCACTGGTGCCAGTGACAAGAGCATCCTGTACACTTGGTCAAAACTTTGGCCAAGAGTCAGCTTCCAGATTATACCTGTTGACATGGATAGTGCCATGGCAGCTGCTAAGGACAACCAGTGTGTGAGTTTTATAGGAAGAACAGCACCTCAGCATTTCCTGAGTAGTCACAATCAGCATCTGAGCTGGTCTGAATCATTCCTTCCAAAAATGTTTATGAGTACCTACTGTCTACACAGCAACTAGCTCATTTTCCCTTCTGTCACAGATCTTATTTTTCAGGTGCCCAAGAACTGGGTTTATCTGTCTTCTTGAGAGGTCTATGTCCCAGCAGGATCACCAAACATAAAGTGTACAGATTTCACCTGGAAAATGTGCTGTCCTTATAGGTAAGCAGACAGTGAAGACAGTTTCAGGAGACTACTCACTGAATGGGAATGGAGCAGGGCAATGGCTAAGCTTTCTAATTCTAACTTTCTGTGAGCCTACATTGTCCTCCCTCTTTGATTTGAGACCAACCACATGGGTTTGTGAGTTGCTTGACTGGGATCAGAGTTATAATCTGAGACTATGGGCAGAGCTTTTCTCCATTCAAAAATAAATGTCCCCCCAAATGAATGGCAGAGAGTACTCTGAACATTCATTGTCCATACTAGTCATCTTCTCAGAACAGAAGCGAAAATCATTCACAGAAAATCGAAATTTAATTCTGAGACCATAGATACAGACACAAAATGCCATTGAAACTCAAAAATCCAAATTTTCCTCACCATCTAATACTCCATTTCTCAGAGAAGTGCATAGATTTTGAATTATGCCTGGAGGTGATGATCTTGTGGTGTACCATGCTATCATCTCAGTGGTCTGATTAAAAACAAACTGTACACATTTCAGAAGCTTTGGAAGTCCTGATGCGAGCTCTGCTCATTCCAGATGGATGATCCAAGGCAAAGGGTCCCAGAATTTGCTATTAAAACATCACAACTAGAAAAACTTCCCTTGGAAGATTTAGTAACAGGCCTCATCAGGACAGAAAGTTTCCCCAAATGCTCTGTGGTGTCAGTCACTCATTTATGAAAGTCTTGCTTGTTACAACAGCTATCCTGGTATCAGCTCTGCTTATCGATATGTAAGGCCCAGGGAAATCAAAGCCCAAATGCTGCCTCAACCAACACAAACTAGTAACAGGGTGACCGCTATTCCTCAGCTACTCCCAGGCTGCAGGAACTGCCCTTGTTGTGATGAAGGAACTGTGAGTACAGCACAGACCCTGGGAGAATTTGGGACCTGGGTCACAAAATAACCAAGATGATTTTGGGGAGCCTGGACAGAAACTGAGAGTAGCTGTCATCTATTCCTGACAAGACCTTGAGATTCCAGGCTGGCATCTCTGAGAACAAATTTTTTGGTAGTTTGGCTAGGATGGGGCTATTTCTATCTCCATACTCACAGGGTCCCTGCTGTGCCCCATTGCTTTGAGGCTCAGATCTCACAGGGAGCACTGGCCCAGCAGCGCACAGTGACCATCTTACATTGATTCTGCACAAATCAGTGTCCAGATTCCAGGGTGAGTCTTGCTCATGGGCAAGAATTGCTATTAAGTTCCTTTGAGGGAACTCCACTTAATAGTAATAGTTATATTTGCAGGTTTCCTTCATGAGGTTGCAAACGTACACACACATTTAATTTTTTCCAGTCATTAATCAGCAGTAAGAGATGACCATTATTATTGCATCTTGGTTAACCAAATAAATCTTACCACATTTTCTGTACTTGAATTTGTCATTACCTGTTTGTTTTCCTCCTTCTTCCCTCCCTCCCTCTCTGTGAGGTTAAGAAAATAAAGATAATAACAGTGAAAATCTAGAGAGCCTTGATAGGCTTCCTGCACAGTACTTTAGGAATAGAAGACATGGGTGTTATTTTTCCTCTGCAACTGAAAGTCCTTAAAGAGAACCTTACCCTTGCGAGTGGACGAGACAGAGGAAAACACTAGAGAGTGGGGGGCAGATCAGAAACCTATCCCTAAAAGTCACCCTCTTCTCAAGCCCAGCACTTCCTTCTTAATTAATTATGCTCTAGAGTGAAGCCACTCTCAGCCCCATCCCCAGCCTCAGCTTCCTCAAGGCTCATTCAGCCAGCGAGAAAACCAAATTCTCTCACAGTCCTCAGGACCTAGACTCTGACAGCCAGATGTCAGAGGGTGGCTGACTTCACATTTAGTGCCGGTCAGTCGTAAGGTGCTCCCATGGTCTATTCAGAGCATTTCTGCATGATTCTTTTCATTTCCCTTGTACTCTGCAAGCAGAGATTTCTTTTCCAAGCAAAAATCCCTCCTATTCTCTCCCCCCCTCCTTCCAAAAACACTTCAGCCCATCCCAATGAACCGCAGACAATAAGAAATCTCCTTTTGGGTGCCGTCTACTCATCTTTTTGGACTGAATTACGAAGTGAGTCCCTTCATTAAGTCAGAGGAGCACAGACTCCTACCTACCGCTGCTTCCTCGGCGTGGATCTGCTCTCAGCGCTGGGCTCCTGCAGGATGCCTCCAATCTCCCTGCACAGCTCCAGCCTCCTTTAAATTTCCAGGCAGGGTGTGGGGTTGATGGCTCTGGTGGGCGGGCTTCTTTGCAGCCGAGGATGCTCAGTGCATGGAGCTACTCCGAGGGAGCAGGGGCGGGCCTGTTTTTATAAAGAGCGGGAGGAAGTACTTGATGGCAGCAGAGCTGCGCAGCGTGTCCTGGCGCTGCGCCAGTCTGATTATTCATTGTCCTGATGTCATCTAAAAGCAGGAATTTGGAAGTCGGATAGGGTCTTAATAATCATCTTTCTTAGGAATCCGAGTCTAAAATGCCGTAAAGGGGAGCGTGGATGGGAATGTTAAGGAACTGTGTATCTGAGAGAAGGGAGTATACACTGTACAAAAATGAAGTTGATAAAAGTAAGCCAAAAAAATTGGGTTAAGAGATTGATAAAAAACAAAAATAATAAAATTAATTTTGGTTAAAACAATAAAAAATAAACAGCCCCAAGGGGCCCTCAGGGTCAGCTAGTTCTAAGTTCATTACAAAAGAAGTGTTTACAATTCTAAACAAATACATACCCGGAGGCAATTAAGCGGTCTGCTGAACTCCCCTGCAGAGAGATGTGGGTTGGGCTGGGGAGCACTTGGAGGCCAGGGGAGATGTGTGCCAGAGTGGTGGAACAAGGCCTCCGCCTGATATATGTTTTTCAGGTGACTTCCCTGCCATATCCCAGCTCCATAATATCGGGAAGACGATCTGACTTCTTTGTAAGGGACTGGTCAAGCTCGGCGTGAGACTGTGGCATAAAGGCAGGAGCCCCTAAGCCAGTGCCCTGCCCAAACAGTTCTGAACCACCTTGCGGGAATTTCTCTCTGGCCCATCCACCCAACCACTTCCAGCAGCCACTGTAGGCTGCTCTTAAAGGCAAATGCTCCTGAAAATAGACAACCTGCTTGACTTGTTAAGACCTTGCAGATGATCGATCAAACGTTTGATGTAGGAGAAAGGCTGAGGCTTGAATCAGCTATACCAGTAATAAGAGCTATGACATCAGCCAAGAGTTTTATTTCTGCTGAGCTTTCAAATGCGCTGGTCACGTGTGAGTTAGAAAGATAACTACGCAAGATCTCTGGCAGCTCAACCTCTCTGCTATTTGGCATCTGATATGATTGATTGAAATGTAGCTGAGACAGGCACTCCAGGAGAGGAAACAGAGGCCGGCAGAGGAAATTATGGGATGACAAGACTAAATGGTGTATGTACTGATCCTTTATATGCTCATTTGTGTCGAAATCATGAGATTTTTGAAGCTGGAAATGAAGCACCGTGGCTGAAGTCAAACTATTTCTCCATATTTTATCACTGATAATAGTTCCATCAATATAGAAAATCAGCAACAAGGGACATGGAGTGAGCTGCAGAATATAGGAGACAGGCTGCAGGGCTGCAGCTGAGGGCAGCCAAGAGCCCAGGGAGATGGGACACCATTGCTCTGGCTTAACGTGACAGTAATGAGACAGGTCTGAACACCTACAGAGGATGATCATCTCCGAATGATCACATAGACACTGCAGTGCAGGTATTGACTTCTAAAGCCTGGACAGGATGTGACCCGGAGGGTGAGCCTACAGCTCTGCCTTTGGAAATTCATGCTCTTAGGTAGTCAATTCTCGGTTAAAATACAAAGTTGAGCACTAACCTTCAAAGTAGTCTGGGGGAGGGGCTACCTGCTGCTGGTCCCCTGGGATGACCTGCAGGTGGGGAAATGGAGGGAATTGGGAGATGGGCTGGTATGGGGTTCTTGAGCAGAAAGGTTCTTGGAGCAAGCACAGGAAAGAGGAGAGGAGACTCTGGGTACCCCTGAACTTTACTAAAATAAACCTGTAACAGGTACAGGTTTCATGGACTCCCCCCCCACTCCAGATGCTGGAACTCCAAATCCCATCAGTACCAAGAAGAAGCTTGCCAGGACGTGAGGGCGGAGCTGAGCAGCCAGCTTGGGATAAAACCGGACATGTGGGCTCTGGGGGGCGACCTGGTGGTTCGCAGCTGATCGTTTTGGCGCTCAATCGGTTTTCAGCGTGCCGGTGGAGTCCAAGTCAGCAGAACTGGTAGGACATCCTACTTAACCTGTGTTTCTCTCCCTCTTTCCCTGGGTTACTCCTTTACCTTTCTCCTTATAAATAAATCCATTATTTAACCTTTTGAGTGTGTCCATAATAGGATTGAATCGTAAGCGCACGGGTGAAAACCCACAGACAGGCAACCCAATCCACATTGGGGTGCCCTGTAACAAACCCAATGATTCAGGCCAGTTAATACCCTAGTCTTGGAACTGGGGCTTTTGTGCTGCTCATAAATACAAGATTGTTTTTCCTTTCACCAACCTCTGGGAAGCCCGAGAAGGAGGTAGGTGTGGGAGGTGATATGGTCACAATGGGAGCCTTGATTTTAGTCAAGGGAATGTTGCTGGTGCAGTACGTGAAGAAAAAAAAAAATCTTGGTGAAATCACATCCTGGGAAAATTGTATCAATGTCCTTAGATTTCAAGGAAGAGAAATGAAACCCAGGCCCAGATAACATGGACACAAAGTGGGCAAAGGAAAACTGGGTTCCCACAGGGTTTTGTCACCAGGCACCATGTGAGTTCTGGGCGTGGGGGGTGGTGGTTGGGGGGTGGAAGCTGGGGAATGGAGGGTGTGTGTGGCAGGGTCCAAGAGACAGGCACTAGATCAAGGATCACCCTGAGACCCCAACCAGTTGAGTAAGAAATTAATTATGGGATATCTGTGGAACCCATAAAAAAGATAGACAGGAGGCTTATAAAAGGTGGTTTGGGTCCAGAGGACAGAACATTGGTTATAGCATCTCCAAGGGTTTAATTTGGGGATCTCTATTTTTCTAGAATGGAGTAGACCACAGACTGGGTTTGAAATGGGTGCTGTGTGGCATATGTTGTCTAGACCTTCATCCAGACACGGAAATTCACATTGGGGACCATGCCAGTGAGGGGAATCCCACACCAACGCTGAGAAACATCAACTAGGACAGGCTGAGTCCCAGGGAAGCGCCCACACATGGTTAAACTCATTAAGAATCACTCACCAGGGCCCTCCCTGGTGGCACAACTTGGTTAAAGCACAGCGAGCTCCCACTCTGTTTCTGGTGAATCTTCTCAATGCCCCTGCACTTCTGGCCTGTAGCCCAGTTCTATATGCATAAATAAATAAATCTTAAAAAAAAAATCACTCACCTGGTGGCATGAGATTTCTTTGTATTGTTAATGCAATTCTTGTAAGTTTGAAATTCAAACTAGATTCTCTGGGAGTAACAATTCCACTTCTGAATATTGAGCTCAATAAAATAAAAATTTCAGCTCCCATGCAAGAAAACAGTATGCAAAAAACATTTGACTATCTAAAACCGAAAATAGCATTGTTCAAAATTAGGGGACTCACCAGTATATAGTGTGATATTGTGGAGTCATTATGAGGATTTAATAATATTAAGAGGACATAATTTGTATCCTTAATACTATAATTTGATATATATACTATCAAAATGATCATAACACTACCTTACCCAAAAGAAGTAGAAAATAATTTTGTAAATGAACTCTGATATAAATGATGTGAATACTTCACCTTTATCTACAAGGTTGGAAGACAAAGTCAAGTTTTGGAGTGCTGCATTATTTGTTAATTGTGTTTCAGCCCCTATTTCTAAATTGTCAAAATAAGAATTTCCTGTTTCCGTGGTCCTGGGTGTCCCAAACATGTGCAGGTGTTTCTCTCTGACACAGGCTCTGGAGAAGCCGACTAGCCCACAACACCCTGTGTAAAGATTAAGGATTTTCCTTAGCCAGTTATAGTGCTGTCTATGAATTCATTCCATCTCTCCTTGAATGCATCTCATTTTCACTCAGTTCCTTTGAGGAGGAAATGGGATTTCTCAGGTTGGCCTCTAGATTTCTTAAACAGAACTTCCTGTTCTTGGTCCCAAAGCTGCATATGTTGAATTTTGAGACATAACCCTGATGTCATCTAGTAGGCATGAATGAGTGTGCACCTTTGCTGGAACCCTGGGTTGCTGCTGGGAAGAGCCTGCACTGTAAATCAGGAAGTTTGCCTTTTTCTTTTCCTCTGAAGTTAGTTTCATGACTGGGCTACTTAGGTAGCTTCGTGCTCTAGCTTCCGTGTATCAGATGAGAGCAATAGACTCATTCATATTTGGGTATTCATTGGCTCAGATGTTAACATGGAAGAGAAAATGCTTTGAGACAATTGACATGCTACTGGTGATTTTAATAAGCCCTTGCAGAAACATTTTTGGCAGTTTTGTTTAGACACCTTTTGTTAGACACCTTTCCTGTGTCTATCCTCAAGTAGAAAATCATTTCTTTGCAGGGGAAGAACTCTCACTGTTTGTTTTTTTTTTTTTTTTTTTTGAGATGGTGAAAGGGACCCCAAAGAACATTCTCTCTCTCATTTTCTCAAACTCTATTCTAGGCCATATTATATCACACATGAAAAAAAATTCAACACTAATACTTTTTTTTTTTAAAGGCATTTTTCTGCACAGAAAGGAAGATACAAATGGGGGCTTCTGGGTGTGAGAGAGAAAAAGATCCTGGTCACCATCTGGGACAACCCCAGAGAGAAAGTTACCAGATGAGCTCATTCCTGTATCAGGAGGCAGATCCCATCTGGTAACTTACCCCGGGAGGCTCCACATCAGTTCTGGTCACCAGATGGTGACAGCCAGTGTTCAGGGTGACAGGCATGTAATGTTTATTCTGGACCCACCTTCCCCCTTGAAGTGTTATAGCATTCTGCTCCAGCCACCTTCTTCCTGCGTCAAGAATTTTTGCTTAGTGAATATGATTCTAGGGTGGCTTCCACAACCCACTCTCCTCCTGCCAGGGAAGTGATGCATATTTTATGACATGTACTTTTACCTCACCCTCACTAAAATGTACATTTGCCCCTCCTCGATCTCTGTGAGGGGTTTGCACCAATCTGAATGAACATGAAATCAATATTTTCCCTCAGCTTTCCTTTATGTATGGGTCACAGGGTTTCCTGTTTGATTTTTAGATTAATAGCTTTAATCACATTCCAAATGTCCCTTATCATCTCTCACTGTGTTGGTTCAGGAGTGGCTCAGTCCACAGCTTTTATTAGAAACTGAAAGAAGCTGACAAAACATGCCCTTATGAACTGCATAATGTGACATATCCTCCAATTAAAGGAAATACCTTTGTGAACCAACCCTCTCTACTGCTGTGGCCCTAGCAGCTATAACAGATCCAGGGCATAGACACACTCATTTTCAAGTTACTAATTTGGGCCGATAGGAAGTTATGCTGGAATGTGAAAAACTAAATCAGTTTACAAAAACTAAATCAGGTTATAAAAACACTAGCAAGATATGAAAACAGCTTAAGTGCCTACACTTAAGAATAGAATACTAAAGAATAGAATACTACACAGTCATAAAAAATGAAATCTTGCCATTTGTGACAACATGGATAGAACTGGAGGGCATGATGCTAAATGAAATAAATGGGAAGGAAAGAGAAAAGCAAATACTCAATGATCTTTCCCAATGATGAGATATAAAGAAGCAAAGGAAATGAACAGACAAAACAAAGCAAAAATAAGCTCTTTGAATTTCTCCCTTCAGGTATGGTCACTGTAGTTTTCCCATCACCAAAGCACCCATAGTCCTCCATCATAGTCCAGGTGGGCCTGTTTTCTTCCCTCCACCACCACTCTCAACTTCTCCCTGGAAGTTACCAAAGTGGAAGGAGGTAG